CTACTAGGAGCAACAAGCTACTAGGGGCTCCTGGCATTATTACTAGGGACGCTACTAGGGGCTCCTGGCATTATTACTAGGAGCAAGGACACTACTAGGGGCGTCTGGCATTATTACTGGGAGCAAGGACGCTACTAGGGGCCCCTGGTATTATTACCAGGAGCAAGGACGCTACTAGGGGCCCCTGGCAATATTACTAGGAGCAAGGTTGCTACTAGGGGCTCCTGGCATTATTACTACGAGCAAGGTTGCTACTAGAACCTCCTGGCACTATTACTAGGAGCAAGGACGCTACTAGGGGCTTCTGGCATTATTACTAGGAGCAAGGTTGCTACTAGGGGCTCCTGGCATCGCTACTAGGAGCAAGAAGCTACTAGGGGCTCCTGGCATTATTACCAAGAAAAGAAGCTGCTGACGTAGCTAAGTGCATTAGTACTAGTAACAAATCTAGGCACTTACAGCTTGGGTCGACATCCCATCATGGAGAGCATCAATATGGGGCAAGGGACCATGGGTTTACAGAAATGACGTTGAATGAAGATGCCCCGATGAAGCCATACAAGCAAGAATACCAAAGAATGTCAAGAGGCACATGACAGGCAAGAAAAGAACTGAAGCACAAAAGATGGCCTCAATGCCGTTTACCATGCCAACCACTGCCACCTCCTATTCCCACTGACAAGAACGTTGCTGTTTTCTCTGAAACAGAGCCTAGTAGCGTCCTTGCTCCTAGTAGCTTCCTTTTGTCCGATCCTTTGCGTTCAACGCGGTCGTTGGTCCCACGCTTCGAGGGGAAGCTGCAACACGCAGCTCCAGCAGGCCACAGCAACCCGTGGTATGAAAAACATGTGGATTTTTGGATTGGCACCATGAGATGGAGAGTTAATTGGACCCAATCTGAACCACGGTTTTAATTTGAAACCGGGCTAGCTTATTCTGAGCACCTACATGAAACGATGAGTGGCAGTTGGATCTAGCAATCGCTGGACCACCCGGTTGTTTGAAGACTTGGAGCGGCACATATGCGTTTTTGGGTCTCATGTGTCAAAATTAATGAGTCCAGAGTTAGGATGTAGACTGTAGGTTAAGGGCACATGTTGGAGCTGTGAAAGAGGTATGTGCGTAGGTATGTGCTATCGTGCAGATAGCAACTTTGGCACAGGCATAAGGAGATCGAGGTGCTTGCAAGGTGTGGCATGCCATGTTTCTGTGAATGGCATCAATGGTTCTCAAAAAGGAGAGCCCCGTTGAATCAAACGACAAGCGATTATGCGGCAGCGAGTTCAATCCGTCATTGTCGTGATGCATGCTCAAGGCCAAATGAATCCTACGATGGACTTCTACGACGAACCTCCAATGAAGATGCTTGTTGCCCAGTACACTCCAGTGTACGTGTCACATGTTCTTTTTCCACAATTGGGTTGCCGTAGTGCCACTGGTGATCAGATCGAATCAGGTAAGAAGGAAGAAAGAAAGGTTGACACAATAATGAAGCTTGCCAGTAGGTTGGAGGCCATCGCTAGTAATTAAGTAGGTTGGAGGAGCAACTGAACAAAAGGAAGCTTATGAGTTTCATGCTCCATCTCGCCTTTGAGGCGTTCAAGATGGTTTCGCAACTGCTCGAAGCTTACCACATCGCTGCCACATATGTTTTTGTTGGTGTGTCTTGGTTTCACATGGCATGGGTCTCCAAGTCACCTTCACACAAAGAGATCACATCGTGTTGCCTCAGGAAACCTCATGTCACCGAGTATTACGACCTTAAGGAGGGAAGATGTTGAAGTTGACCCCTTGACATCACACAAAAGCTCACATGGCCAATGCCACTGTGCAACAATCACCGAAGGTCAAAGACTCTAGACAACAACGCATGCCCCAATTGAGACTTGTGTGGTTGCCTTTTGGTAAAGAAAGTTTGCTTGTTTGCATGTCATGATTGAACCACGTCAGGCACCAATGGTTTGTTTGGAGAGTCCCACCTCCAAAGCCTCCTTCAAAAGTGTTTACCATTCTCCCAGTATCTTCCAATCCTCTTTGGAAGCTGAGTGGTCTTTCACACCTCGGCTGGACCTCGGCCTCCAGGATCCTGAGGACGTGTCGCCCTTCTCAAAAGGCCTCGAGCTCCCTGGGAGGCGACACCGACACATGAGAACAGCAATTGGATCCAATGGCCTTTCTTGTTTCTAGTAGCTTCTTGTTACTACTAGTAAGGCACTTGTTACTACTAGCGTGGCACTTGTTCCTAGTAGCGAACATTGTTTCTAATAGCAATTGGATCCAATGGCCTTTCAGCCGGGCCTGGCACTAGGCCCTCGGAGTCTGAGATCAAGCAGGTGGACGTTTCGGCTCCATCGCACCAGGCGAGACGGCCGAGTGGAGACTCGAGACGGCCCAGACGAAGCAGCTCCAAGTGCCCAGACGTCCCACGTTTCGTACGGTTTGTGCCAGGGGGGTGTGGAGGGCGTTTCCTTTGAGGTTTGGGAGGGCCACAAAAGTGAGTTGGGTTGTTCTTGCCGCCCTTGCACCTGCACCAGGCCTATCCCAGATCCGCGGGGTGAAACTCCCTGTGAAGGATTTCACCTCCTTTGATAGACAAGCAGTGAGCTGCTGGCGTGCCTTTGGCCAATGAATTTAGAGAAGAAGTAGGGAGGAGATTAAGATGACATGGAAAAGTAGAGAAGACCAGGAAATGCAGCAATTGTATCATATGAACCGCGTTTTGTTTGAATCCCCACTTCGCTAACACTTGCACTTCGGATTCATGCTGGCGGAGATGTCTCGCTATGCTTCAATCACATTAGCTGTGTGAGCGCCGAAACTTCACCTCGCATGAATCCGAGCGGCTCCACTCGTCCTAAAAGGTTCGAGAAGGGGGCCACAGAAAGTCAGTGCTTCGCTGGAAAAAGACAAGAGAAATACCGCAGCCTTTGTGCAGGTACGGGCCACGAAAAAAGTCAAGTTCTTTGTTCTTTCTTTTGTCCAGGTCTTTTCTTCCCAGATGTCATTTTGAGGCTTGCTATGGGTCAAGATCCTACATTGTAAAATGGGACAGCTCGCAAAATGCAGGATTGCTGTCCGCCATTTTTGGTTCTGGCATAGTCCTGGCCCCCAGAGTATGCCCGTATGCCCGCCCATGCACTTTTCGCTCCAGGTTCAAGAATTGGTATGGAATCTTGTACTGTTTGCTTCTGTGGGAAAGGTTATATAGTCATTGTCACGTTTGAGTTTCTGGATTTCATCCGAACATCACAAATAAACGCCCATTTGCGTCAACAATCTGAAAGAGCAGCGCAGATCTTCAACCCTGAACATGCTCACAGCTTGACCCACAAGCAGCCAATCTTTGGGATGGGCTGTGTTCCAGGCGGAAGACGAAAAGAGAAATCGAAGAGTGACCTGTTAACCATGTCTCGCTATTAGGTTG